GGGAACCTATTACAAGGATCTACAGGTGACCTCCTCCCTAGGGGACGGACAACAGAAAAGTGAGTGAAGGGAGACGTCGGACAGGGCAAGATATGCCAAAATAATAATCTATAAATTATCAAGGGTTCATGAGGGAGGGAGGAGGGAGGGGAAAAATGAGGAGCTGATGCGGGGGTGGGGTGGGGGGTGTTTTAGGTGGAGAGGAAATGTTCTGAGACTGATGAGGGTAATGAATGTACAAATGTGCTTTATACAATTGATGTGTGTATGGCTTGTGATAAGAGTTGTATGAGCCCCTAATAAAATGATTAAGTGATAATAATAATAATAAAAGAGGACATTCCAGCTGGAGAGAACTGCACCGAGGCATGCAGGCTGAAAAGCAAGCAGGGCTTCTTTTTTTTTTAAATCATTTTATTAGGGGCTCATACAACTCTTATCACAATCCATACACACATCCATTGTGTAAAGCGCATTTGTACATTCATTGCCCTCGTCATTCTCCAAACATTTGCTCTCCACTTAAACCCCCGGCATCAGCTCCTCATTTTTCCCTCCTTCCAGGCAGGGTTTCTAAGGTAGGGTTTTCTCTACACGGGCACTACTTTGTTTGGGGGAAACCCTGAGCGTTTCACAGCAATCCTGCCCTCTACCCACGAGATGCTTGCAGCAGCTTTCAAGCAATAACAACCAAAAAAACGTCTTCAGACTTTGCTCAATGTCTCCTCAGGGGGCAATACTGCTCCCGGTTGTGAAAGTGGTTTATGTACCAGTGTCATCCTTGACAGAGTCACAAGACTACTATAAAAAAAGGATCAAATATCAATTCAAAGGCAAATATTAGTACACCCCGTTTTTTAAGTGATCATAGTCAACTTGTTTATGTGGTGTTAAAATATTATTTTCCTTATATGAAATGATGTCAAAAGAAGACAGCTGATTTGGGGGAGTGAGTTGGGAGGTATATGTCCACCAAATGGTCTTACTGTGTTGTAAATTGTTTTTTAATTCTGAAGTTTTAATGACATATCATTCATACATCATATAATTCAAAGTTTATAAGCATACTAAAAAGAGCCATGCCATTACTACAATTATTTTCTTTTTTCTTGTAGTAATTACTAGCTTCCCATTTCCCCCAACCCTTTGTCATCACCCTAAGAAACTTAATCCAGTTTCTGTCTCTATAGATTTTTCTATCTTGGATTTCAAATAAAGAAAAACACACAAAAACAAACATCCCTCAGAACAATAACAAAATAAAACACAAAAACACCTCCGTTGAAAAAATTAAAAACGAAAACAAATTTAAAATGGGTTCAAAGGAAGAACCGATAAAGGTGTCAGATTTTAACCGAATCACACCTCCATCAGTCTGTTCTACAATGCACTGTGTCCGATGGCCAGGCTATTCACATCCCTGTCACTGGTCAGATGGGGTTCGCGGAAGGGTTAATCCATGTGAGAAGTCTGGGAACTGGACTTGGGGTTTCACTCTCACCCATAGCTTTACACAAACTGGGTGCTCTAGACCTTTTCTTAATACTTTAGCTCCCATCACACGTTTTCTGGTCCTTAGTGTAGTAAAATCTGGGTGGTTCATACTATGTGTTTTAAGAAGGATTAAAAATGTTTACTTGTTGGTATGCTAAAATGTACTTCGGGAGAGTACACTACTGGCTATACTTAGAAAGCAAAGAATGCCCATAGTATTATTTATTATATATAATTTTGTGAATAAAAACAATGTTATGATTCTTACGTGGTAACTGGAACTAGTCTTTGTTTATACAGCGCTGTATGTTCAAAAGCAGGCAAACTAAGAAGACCCATAGATTGTGAAGTGAGAAGCATTTACTAAAAGGCAATTTTACCTTGTCTTGCAGTATATTCATCATCTTCAATCAACCTTGCTAAACCAAAATCTGCTATTTTACACACAAGATTTTCTCCTACAAGAATATTAGCAGCCCGAAGGTCTCGGTGAATGTAGTTCATTCTTTCAATATAAGCCATACCATCAGCAATCTTGTGGGGGAAAGACAAAAAACAAAAACAGTGATACGAAAGGTAACAGCAAGAAGGCAATCTTGCTTAATGCTATACCAGATTACTGTGAAGAAACACCCCAGTCTCCTGAAAGGAAAAGCTGGTAAGAGGACACAGTCTCTATGAGTTAATGGAAAGACAGTATTACACACTGTAATTGAAAAGAACAGGTAAAGGTTCAGTTCAGCTTTCAAAAACTCAGAAGTCACGACTTTCACCTACTCGGCACATTCAGTCACCATTTGGGGCATAATGAACGCATGTTTTCTTTTGTTATTAGTTAAGAGGAGAGTCAGAGGGTTAATGAGGACAGAGGAATATTGATGGGCACAATACCGTCAAGTTCCAAATCATTCACTCATCTGAGATACCCAAGAAATAAAGATCTTAACACAGAGTGGGGTAAGGTGGGTCAGTAAACAACAGCTTGCTGACCAAATTGGGTTGTTTTTATATGGCATGGGAACTACAAGTGATTTTTACATTTTTAAAGAAAGAAAACAGAGAAGATGATGAGAATGGGAAGACGATATTCAAGAAACAAGAACGAAGGACGGAAAAGAAGACTTAATAACAAAAATAAATAACCACAACAAAAAATAGTAACAGAAATCCTTTGTGACCACAGAGCCTAGCATATAAATTTACCTGACCATGTACAAAAGGGATGTGCCAATCCCAACCATAGAATGTCTAAGAGTCTTGAATTCAGGAGCAAGGGCCAGGGCTGGTAAATGCTAAAATCTCACATGTAATAGTTTCTCAGTATAAGGCTTCTCTGAACTGGCCGATTCTGTGGGTCCCTGGACACCCACTGAGAGATAAGGAACCTATGAGAATAAGTCACAGAGTATTGACAAAATCATAGAAACTTTTACTAAACAAAAACATCAAAACGTGAAGCTGGTGCCTCTTGCATTTCCCTCATTTAGGTATATATACGCTTTTAAAGGCAGAGCTTCTATATATATAATTTTCCAAAAGAATTCTCCACTTTTCTATTAGAATGGCTTAAAACGGGTTCCTTTTTAATGTTCTTTGAGTTTGGGGAACAAGAAGAAGCTTAAAGTGGCAAGACCAGGGCGGTAGGGTGGGCGGAATAAGGTTTTCCCCAACACAGTTCTAGTAGGAGAGCCGGAGAGGGTCCTGAGACGCGGTAGTGCAACTGCGGGAAAATCACAGGACAAAGCAGGCAGGGTGCTCACCTTTCCCGGTGTCAGCATCGAGAGAGAGCAAATAGGTTTACATAATCTTGGGGCTACCAAGCCCTGGTAAGCACATGTGTAACAAGGTGGGCAGGTACTAGCAGCACACACTTAACAGAATAGATAGGTACTAGAGTTAAGATGGAGGCTTGACCTTGGGTGCCCCTGAGCTGTCTCCAGGGGGAATAATCTATGATCAGTATCAGAAGGGAGATGGCCCAGCTGCCCTTGAGAGGGGTGGCCAATAGAGCTGGACTGCTCATAATGACAGACAGCCTCTGGGCGTATAGTAAGCAGCCATATGCTAGTAAGAAGTCTCTTAGAAGTAGCACTATTACGGAGGGCTGGTGTGGGGATGATTTTTAGTCTGGAGAATGCGGCTGGGATTCAGCTCTCTCTCGCAAATGTGAAGACCTTCCTCCACCAGTCGGCCTCCCAAACTCTTCTCTGGATCACACTGGGAAATCCAAGACACATTCCTGGTTACAATTTATTCCATTAAATCCTTATTATCGTTAATCTTCTTAAAACACTGATGGAAATATCAGCTATCTGAGCTAGCTGATTTCTGAGCAATGCTTTTGGCACCCATCAAGCTGAAAATGCCAGACCATGTAAGATCCTGACTTCAACCATAATCCTATCAAGGGTAATGCTACAGTCTTCTCCCCGCAGTTTCTGGACTTCGGCCACAGCGTCTCCAATCATCAAAGTTGATGATCTTCCCTCTCGTGGCTCATCTTTCAGGTCTTTGTGACCTTCATGAAAATGCTTGATTTCTATTTCATGGGGATCAACACTTTCATACATTTGTTGGAAAGTTTTCAGTGATTTGAAAAGATGTCCTCTTGGGTTTTGTAAAAAATGTTACCGTTAGCCCTGACCTCAGAACTGTTTTAGCCCGATGCCACAAAAGTATCACTTTTAGGGAGGGGATCCTACTGAGTCTAAAACAAGTATATGATGGAGAGGACTGATCTGCAGCCATCTGCTGAGTGCAGAGACATGTTTACAATTACCAGGTTTGCAGTAAATCCATGCATGTATGAACTGGAATTTCAATAGTAGTATTTTTTTACTTAGACCCGTAAAACTGAAATGTCAGCAAGAGCCAGTAAAACGATGCTCAAATACCTATCACAGAATAGAAACTTAAAATATTGACTTTAATTTAAAAAATAAAATTTCAGAAAAGCAAATATATCCCACTCATCAATTTTAATAGTATATAAACACCTCAATTCTTATTTTGGATATTCAATTTAAAAACTGACATGCAGTTTAGATTCCCAACATTTTCTTTACAACAGCAAAAATTCATTTTCTTACAATATGTTGAAATATGAAAGATCTTTAAAAAGTTCATAGAAAATGTATAGTATGAAAAACCTTGCATGGATTTCTAAATCTTTAAATACCAAAATAAGTTCATACTAACCTGTCTGAACAAGATCTAATTTGAACACTAGTAAGGATAAGACATCAGTGTGAAAATAACAAAAAGAATTCTGCTAGAATTTAAGCAAGAACATCAATTTCATGGTGAAGCTTGGGTAGAATGGTGCGGTGTGGGAAATTTATGAGAATACTGCCCACAGAGAAATCAGTTTACAAACAGATGGATCATTTTAAGGATGCAACCATCATGAAGATAGTTCATCAGGAGACCGTCCACCTAGCTCATGAAGAAAAACTTACTCTTGCTCATGCCCTAACTTAAGAAGACTGCCAAGGACAGGAAGCAATAGTCCACTCCCATCTGCATCTTAATAGATTCAGCTTGAAAACTTATGGAGCAACTTCCCACTCGGTGGGTGCCAAAACTTGCATTCACTCGTGCAAGCTGTAGACAGAAGCAGAGCCATCAATGGAAATTTGAAACAAGTGGGATCAAGTTCCTGAAGCATTTCTTAGATCAACCGTGTAACAGGAGACAAACCCAAAGCAAACTGACGTAGTGACTACTAAGGTGGGAGTGGTCTGATCAAAGCAAACAGACTGGTCAAGAGCCAAGGTCATGGTAGCAGTTCTTTGGAAAGCCCCGGGGCATTTTGCATGTTGATTTCTCTGGAGGGACAACGCCTGATAACATCTGTTATTGTGAGCCACTTCTCTGTCCACAGGGACATGTTCCTACTTGGTCCTCTCATCAAACAAGGGCCATTTTGAAAGTTTTGATGGGAAATCAGTAGATATCCATCTTATAGTCCTTCTGACTGCTTTCTGTTTCCTCATCTTAAAAAAAAGTCAAAAAATATTGGCAAATAAAGTCTTTACAGGGCACATATTCTTCTTCAGGTAACAATGCAAAACGGACTGCATGAAACAAGGTTAATTCCCAGGACCCTCTGTTAAGATAGTTTAGTATCAAGTCTCACAAAAGTGTCTTGACCTTGGTAAAGGTTATGCTGAGTAGTTTACATTTTTTATCTTTTAATTCCATTTTCCACAAACAATTTTAAGTCTCCTCGTATAAATACGTATGCATTTAATATGATGTCTGTTTTCTACAAGGGCAACAATGAACTGGGAATTAAATGTCTAGTTCTAATATTGCTTTTACTACTGACAAATCATTAGTCTTTGGACACCTGTTATTCAAATACTACGTTATCTGTTAACATAAGGAAATGAGATGTTCTTTCCAGTTCTAAAACCTCATGATTTCACTAAAGCAGACCCCAGATGATCAATATCTCACTTACAATACTTAATTGCCCTTTAATGAAATGTAAATTTGCCCTCATTTTGCAATGAATAAACCTACCAACTACTCCAAAGAATTATTCATTGTAATCACTTTCACTTGTTGCACATACAGCTTTTAAATGAATGAAAAGGGTTTTCTTGCACTAAAGTAAGCCAGGTAAGAACCAGGTGAACCTGTTCCTACTGACGTACAATTGCTTACAGGTACATATAGAGACAGTCCTTGTTCATAATCTTAGAGTTACCCATATATCAATTATACTATTCTGCTAAGATTAGTCTACATTTTTAACGAATATATACAAGTACCTGTGCAGCCATATCAACCAGTTGTGGGAGCTTCAAAAACTTTCCATCTCCCTCCTTAAGGAAATCTAATAAGCTCCCTGCAAAAGAGAGTAGGCAAATCTTAAAAAAAATCTTAAAATCAGTATTGAAACAAATACTCTCCCTGCTCCCCACGCCCACATCACCAAACCATAACACTTCAGCTTTCATTTTTATTTTCTGCAGCTTGGAATTTCTTAATAATTATCCTTTAATATTCTAAAAGATGTTCTTAAAAATCTATACCTCCACATGAAATACATTTTTTAAAAAGTAAAAATGCACTAACATCACTGTGGTAGTTACATAAAGTTGTCAAATTGAGACTTAAGAGTGACGGAGTGGAGTTTAGCCTGTCGATCAGGTCGCAGCTTGATGACCTCATTTGGAGACACTAAGGAGATAAATAGCTAGCTGGAGGCGGGACACATGCTCATTCCCTAGGAGACATTCCTGTTTAGAAGACACATGGAGCTATGCTAGAGCCCTGGAACTGAAGGAGCCACGTGGAGACCCCTGCCAGCGCTGAGATGCTTCCATCGCCACTGAATCCACAAGACTTTCCACCCACTGGCCCGTGATCTTCCTGCATTCTGCATCATTGCATTTGTTGCATGAGTCTGAAGAGAAATTTATAGGTTGGTATCGGACATCTGGGCTAATATCTGACTTATGGACTTGATCTGGACTGGGCTAGGATGTTTTCTCAAAATTCAACTGCTCTTGTATATAAAGCTCTTTCTTATACATGAGTGTCTATGCATTTGTTTCTGTAGTCAACCCAGACCAACTCAGTCACCAAATTAGAGGCATTCTTCCTTTATTTCGATCAAAATCAGTGGTCCCAATTTTGATCCAAAGAGTAGTACTAGAGAATTATCTATTTTAAAGTCAATCTGAATCAAGAGTTTGGACAACTGGGATTATTTGGGAAAAATACAATTAGATCTAGGTTGCTAAAAGAGTTGCCGTGACAGTGTTGGCTCAACCAACTTCTCTCAATTTCAGAAACCCTAAAATAGCAACACACTGGACAAGTAGAGGAAACAGTACAAAGGAAAATGATGGCTGCTGCTCTTCTAATCGTGGTGAAAAGCTTCCTATTTGCCTGAATTCAATCAAGAGAAAACAACAGACAAACCTGAAATAAAATACGTTTTAAACAAGGGTTTCAAAATATTCATGGAACAATTCCATTATCTTTGAATTTCATTTTTTCCATGAAAAATTTGAAGTCCACTCATCAGACAACTGTACTATTCTCTTTAAAAGTTCTAAGCTTTGAGTCTTTGAAACCCAGGAGGCTGTGGCCCATCCTCTGAAACTGAGAATGCTCATGCTCCTTGCAACGGTTCTGCTTTCCCTAGTTGCTTCAGAAATGGTGGGCCTTCTCTTTGAATGGATGCCAACAGATCCCCTGGCTTGTTTCCTGCATGTAGAATTTCGGCTGCTCTTTCCTTTCATCCTTTCTGTCTCCTTGGTCTAAGTTGATGAGCTTTCTGTTGTGGCGATTGATTAAATCCATTACAGCTACAAGCTAAAACGTACTTTTAACAAAATAGTGTGTAGCCGTGTTCTTGGTGAACATCCTAGGATACACATCCTTAGATGAAACTGAAGACATAAAATGGTTGATGAAGAAATGAAAACGATCTATTTTAGCAACTAAGGGGTTCTGGTGGCACGAAGATTAACGCACTCAGCTGCTAACCAAAAGGTAGGTGGTCTGCGCCCACCAGCTGCTCTGGGGGAGTGGGATGTGGCGGTCATTTGAAACCCTCCAGGCCATTAGATCCCAGAGTCAGGTCCACTCAATGACCATGGGTTTGGTTTTTAGGAAATTCTGCAACCAGCTGACAAAATATGCCGTGAACTTATTAAAAGCAAACAGGATAAAGAACTCCTAAATGACTAGCAACCTAAATCGACTAAAAGACACACGTAAGCAATGCACAAGAAGCTTAGAACAGTCCACCAATCTGAAAAGATGCTCAATCATTCATTAGGAAAATACAAAACAAATTAAATGGGAGACTAGACCAATAAACTGGCAAAGCTTAAAAGATCTAGCAATATCAAGTATTACACAGAAGTAGAAAAATAGGAATTTTCAAATATGCTAGCAGAAGGACTAATCAGTAATGTCTACACTGGAAAATACCCAGGCAATACCTTCAGAAAAACAGATGTAGGTGTCCTATGACCGCCTAATTCCCTTTTTAGGTATATAGTAAATCCAGTCTGATTTTGGACAATGTGAACTTGCCTTTTAATATTACATAAATTTTCTTTCACTTTGAAAGAAATCAACTTTCACGGGCACTAACTCACTGCCTTGAGTCGCTGCCAGCTCACAGCAAACCCCGAGGACAGGATAGAACTGTTCCTGTGAGCTCCTGAGGCTGGAGTTCTTCACCGCAGTGTGACGCTCGTCTTTCTCCTAAGGAGCAGCTGGTGGTTTCGAACTGCTGACTGCATTTTGCAGCCTGACTCGTAACCACTATGCACTAAAGGCTCCTTTTTCTTGCAGTAAAGTAAGGCTAAACGAGAATGATGTGCACCTTTTCCAATGTATCTTCAAATCCAATTTAAAGACACACTTAAAAACAGATCTCCTTTGAATCTGGGGACTGCCTATATACTCAACTAGTTTCACGAAAACACATAAACATGGAAAAATTTACACGTAACTTCAGAAGAAGTTCATGGGTCCTCTGAAAGTCAAGTAGAAAGTACTCAAAAAAGCACAGCGAAATCAATTCAAAGCCACCCTAAAGTTGATCTCACACGCCTCTCTACTTACCTTTCCATAGTAACCACTCTTCACAAACAAGCCTGGCTCAGCAAGTTTTTAGTATGCTTTCTACCACCTGTGACTTGTCTCCTATTCTCCTCATTTAAGGAAATACCACGATCCTTCCTTTAGCTATACCCTTCGTAACCTTAAAGGTTACGTGTCATTTCCAGCAATCTTTCTCAACATATTGCAGCACGTCTGGAATTATATTTATATAATATAATTTATATAATACAATTATATCTACTGAATGTATCAAACACTTGGTAATTAAAGCTTTAGTCTGCAGCTTCTTTTTCCGTGTGTGTGTGTGTGTGTGTGTGTGTGTGTGTATGTTTTATAGTGAACTGCTGTTTACTTTTAACTCTTCACAAGATTAGGTCTTTTTTAATGCCGGGGGTTTAAGTGCTGGGGGAGGAAATGTTTTGAGAATGATGAGGGCAATGAATGTACAAATGCGCTTTACACAATTGATGTGTGTATGGATTGTGATAAGAGTTGTATGAGCCCCTAATAAAATGATTTAAAAAAAAAGATTAGGTCTTTTTAATCCAAATTCAATGTGAAATATTTGGGTGGCTTTATTTCTCTGACACTTTATACCTGGTAGGGTGCTTGTAAATGAAAAGCATTCAACATAGTTGGGCTGATAGAAGCTTCTAGAAGAGTCTGATTATAAAGATTTCAGAAGGTATACGTAATGCTCACAGTAGACTGGGATCTTAATGGGAACCGTTCAACGCGTGGCTTAAAGAGAATCTGAAGGAAGGGTAGTGGGTCGGCTGGTTAGGACACAGGAAACCCAAGTCCACACGAAGGCAGTAACATGAACTAGATCATGGGGACCCAGCAAGAACATGACCCATGTGTCCAGAGAAATGGGATTAACCTCCCACCAGGAAATAATCCTGGCTAGTAATCTGACAACACACATTCCCTCATTAAAAAATCGTTGGAATTATAAGGCAAAGATGAATGACTGTAATGAAAATCTCATTACACGTGGATTTCTTTTGCCTAATAGCTTCATGGAATTAATCTGTTGCCCCTTTTCTCTCTCCTTCCTGCTCTAGTTGAAAGTCCTTTTTACAAGTGCCCTTAAGGGGTTTGGGAGGTATAGCGGTGGAGGTGGGATAAAAGGGAGGTGATATCCCTTTCCATGGAGAAAGGCAATGTTTGGAAATTGATTGTGGCAGCAATTGTACATTCTAATTGATATGCTTGAAATTTGGAATGATCTATGTATTAAATCCCACCTAATAATAAATAAATAGATAGATAGATAGATATATAAAAAGGTGTCCTGTGCTTTACGTGTATTTTGGCTATCAATTAATAGCTTATATCCATTCTTCACTTTTGGTTTCCACCCATTTCAGAGGAGAAAATCATTTCATATGGTGGCCTTGTGGGTTAAGCGTTGGGCTGCTAATTGCATGGTCAGCCATTTGAACTCATCAGCTGCCCACCCCCACCCCCACCCCCGAGGGAAAGACGAGGCTGCCTGCCCCCATAACGACTTAAAGCCCCAGAAGCCCTCAGGGGCAGTCTGCTCCGTCCTACAGGGTGGCTGAGTTGGAAAGGACTCAATAGCGTGAGTTTGGTTTGATTTTAAAGCAAATGGATAGCTTGTAGTTACCCCTGTCACCACTAGAGGGAACCACACCACTAAACCAAGATGGACTACAGAGTGTGACATTTATCAGTGGTTTGAAAAACTAAATTATCTGGAAGATCAAGATAAATTTGAAGATAGAACAAAGAACCATCAGATGAGTCAGCAATCCCAATCCTAAGTATCCACCTACAGTCAAGGCAGGAACACAAATGTATGCATGCCTCAGTGTTCCTGAAACACTGCTGCCACTGAGTCAATGCTGACTCAGAGTGACCCCCTGTGAGTTTCCAAGGCTGTAACTGTTTACAGGAGTAGAAAGCCCAGTCTTTCTCCTATGGAGCTGCTGGTGGTTTCAAACTGCTGACCATCCGGATTGCAGCCTAATGTGTAACCCCTACATCACAAGGAATCTCTACAATAGCTAAAAGGGGGAGGCGATGGAAATATCACCATATGAATGCATTGAAGGTATACACTTCCAATGGATTGTTAATTAGTCAGCCCTAATGAAATGGCACCCAATGCATGCGACAATATGAGGAACCTTAGACATATTATTCTGAATAAAAGGAGTCAGTCACAGAAAGACAATGTGTAAGATTATTAATGATCATCAGTATGTGTGAGAATGGGAGTTTTAGCTTTGAAAGCAATAGACATGACACATGTAATCAATGTCAATGAAATATACAAACAGAATTGTTTAAGCAATGTCTTTTTATGTCTACTTTCACAATTAAAAAAAGTGATACAAGATAGGCAAAAAGCATTCTGGTCAGTATATTTGTTAATTTTAGTAATACAGGTGACTAACAAAACCGGGGTGCTCACAGTAAGAGACACAGATTGCTTATCTTCGTTTGAAACCACTGGACAGAGAAACGTTTGTGGCCTCCCTCCTGAGGGCATCTCATTTGGTGGTGGTTCTGAGGGCAATGCGAAGATAAACCCCTTCAAAGTAAGAAGGCCTTACTTTCTTCCCCAACGTCTAGTACAGGAGAGAATATCCACCCTGGACACTCACCGACTGCTTGCTACATGAGAGCACACAGCTGTGAGTGAACACTTGGCTTGTAACGAAGCTTCTAAGTGCTCGGCTAGGGACTCGACATAGATCTAAAACTAAAGCTTGGTCACTCCCAGTCATTCAGCATTAACCACAGACTTCAATGGACAGCGGTGAAAGAGCATTTCCTAGAGCTCTGAGTTTAAAGGTTCGTTATAGCTACACTAAAATGAGATAAAATTAATCTCTTTAATTTTACCTGATTAGTTTAGGACTAAAAATACAGACTTCATTTTCACTGCATTATTTTAATTCAATTTGTACCAATACTCTTTTCCCTTTTTGCTGTTGTTGATAAGCTCAGTCAAGTCAATTCCAACTCCGAGAGCCCCTACGTACAAAAGAACAAAACCGTGCCTGGTCCTGCCCCATCCTCACAACTGCTGAATGAGAGGGTGTTTGAACCTACTGCTGCAGCCACTGTGTCAATCCATCTTTCTGAGGGCATTCCAATTTGTTCGGACCCTCTTCTCTATGAAACACGATGTCAACATTTCTGGGGACTAGTCCCACAGTGCACAAGATGAAGTCTTACTACCCTCGCTTCTAAGGAGCATTCTAGCCTGCACTTCGTCCAAGCAAACAGATGTTTGTTCTTCTCAAAGTCCATGGTAGTTCCAGTATCTTCACCAACACCACAAATCCATTTCCTTTACTCCAATCTACATGGAAAATAACTTCTGCAACCCTAATTTTCCTTTTAAACTTTCTACTATTCTCTAAATAAATGGAACTATTACTACTAGCTCATTATTTCTTTTCCAATGTTTCTATAAAAAAATCTTAAAGTTAGAAATCACTACACATAGAAATAAAGACTTAAAATCTATCAACATAAATACCCTCAGAGTTCAAGAGCATACACATACCTTTGGACATAAATTCGGTGACGATGTAAATTGGCTCTTCCGAAACAACGGCATAGAGCGGCACAAGTTTATCGTGTCTTAATTTTTTCATGATCTGAGCCTCTTGAAGGAACGCTTCGGGCATCATTGTACCTGGCTTTAGTGTTTTGATTGCTACTTTTGTGGTTCCATTCCAGGTCCCTAGAGAAACAAGACATCGTATGGCATCATCTACAGTGCAGGGGGTTTCTGACTCCTCCATTCCCACCAATGGCAATTACCTTAAAGATCTACATTTACTTTATCAAAAATGTGACATGAGGCTCCACGGCAGAGTAACAACAGCAAAAAGCAGTGCAGGCTTCTTACCCATCCAGACTTCACCAAAACAGCCTTGGCCTAATTTAACCTCCAGTCGCAGGGATTCCCGGGGGATTTCCCAAGCATCTTTCGCTAGACCTTGAGTCTGGGGTTTCACAGTTGGACACACAGTGGTTAACTTATGGCATAAACCGTCCGCGTGCTCTAGATAAATGAAGAAGCTACATTTTACAATGAAGGACTCACAGAAATCAAGGCATAAATCTCCATGTTTTACCAAGTTTAAATTAAAGCAAGTAAAAGCAAAACATCACGTGCTTTATCAGTTACTCTAGGACAGCAGTCTTCAACCTGTGGGTCGCGACTCCTTGTGGGGTCGAACGACCCTTTCACAGGGGTCACCCGATTCATAACAGTAGTAAAATCACAGTTATGAAGTAGCAAGGAAAACAATTTTATGGTGGGGGTAGGTCAGCACAGCATGAGGAACTGTATGAAAGGGTCGAGGCATTAGGAAGGTTGAGAACCACTGCTCTAGGAGCACACGCACAAAAGGATGAAGTTACTAAAGAGTAACGGAATGTTCCAGTATGATGATTCAGCCCTTTACAAATATCTCATGTATATCTCACATAAAAGCAGCAGAACTGATTCCGCAGGTCTGCTTCCAAATATAGGTGTCTGACCACCAGGCTTTCCTTTACCTCTAACCACTGATGTCAAGAGGCATACCAAAAGGAAGGAAACTATGCTTCAGCCAGCAGGTTAATTTCTAAATATAGGAGACACCAAAGCAAGGAAGCCCAGATTTCCAAGGGCTTGACTAGCCAACCCTGCTATGACTTCCTTAGTGTAAGTAAGACACATTGCTGCCCGCGTTCTCAGTAACGCATCACAAACATTCACATTCTGACAAGTGTCTGACAACTGATGCCAGTGCTTGGGAACACTTTTGATCAGAGTCAAGATCGGGGTGTCTTGGTAGGCTGTTTGCGGTCGGTTATCACTAAGGCAGAAATGACTAGGGAAGAGCCCCTTCCTCCACTACTAATCAATGACTTTCAGATACGTTCACATAGATCTAACTGGCAATGAAAACTTCTGAGACAGAAGGCACTAATACTCATTAACACCAATGCTGTTTAAAGACTAAAGAATGTTTGTAGTTACTACACATTAATTTAACAGGAAAAATGCATCTTCAGATCCAATTTTATTCAGTTTCTACTTCAGGAATTCTTATGTGCTCCCGTCAATCCAGGGAAGAAAACCTAAAATAGATATGTGACATTGCTTTTTATGTAAACGTTTTAGTTTTATATTCTTAGTAAGGGTCCACAAATAAAATACTAGCCCTTACTGTCTAAAATATATTCTTACAATCTTGGTATTCATCTATTATGAATGGCAACTCTAATGTAAATACTCTGCCAGTAAGATACAAGACTCAAAAGATGGTAGTCTGATTTAAATAGAGGATCCAAGAATGCAAGTCCGGTAATAAGGCAGGTATTAATTATTCCTTATGTTCCTTCCGTTCCTCAGACATGAAAGCTATTGAGCGTGTAGTCTGTGTAAATACTGTGCCGGACATGAAGACATGGATTCTGTCCTCATCAAACAGAACACAAGAAGGCCGTCTTTACTTCTGAAACATTCACCTACCTGTATAGTGTTTCACCAATTTCTGCAGAGTCTCAAATTGGGCTCTGGTTGTGATGTAGTATCCACCGTTGTCAAGTTTTCTAATTTTGTAGTGTTTCACATTGTCACCCCTGACCTCGTCCCAATCACGAATAGAGAGGGAATAAGCACCTAGGAGGAGAAGGGACATTTTAAGCTGCATCTGTCTCACAATGCTGCCCAAGAAAAGTGTGACGTCTGTATTACTGTAGCAATGTTCATACCTTTAGTAGTTTCGCTCTCCCTTACTAAGAAAATACCCCGCTGGTTCCCAGGGTTCAAAAGTAACCTTTCAGCATCTTTTCTACCCATTTTGCCAAAATACCACCTGGAAAAAAAGGAATGATGTTTTCAGTAGGCAAGGGGTCAAGGTCAGGAAGATTATATAGAAGTCTCAAAGAATGGAGCGGGGCAGGGCAAAGAACTCTGACAAAAGTGGTTAGCTGTTAATGATACACAGTTTCAAACGGAACTACAGACTTGTATTTATTAAACAGGAACATTAAAAAGCTGAAAGTCAGGATATACTCTGTCACAGCATTTCCAGGTGTTGACTACTCAACGAGTGTTTCTTAAGCAACACCTCTCAGTCATGCCAACAGTAAGTGCGGGACAGACAGCAGACAGACATACGTGACCGATGGAAACAGAGAACAGCTTAAGTGTTTACCAGCAACCATGTGGTCACTCATATCCAGTAGGATGACAACATGAAAAAGAACAGAAAGCTAAACGCACCCCTGCCGTTGACTCACTTCTGACTCAGGGTGACCCCATGTGTACCATAACCAAATTATTAGGAGTAAAAACTCGTGGGGGTTTGATCTAATCTAGTTTTGTGAACAAAACTGACAGGCTCTGCTTTGAGGAAGCTCACAGGAGAGAAGAGAATCCAAAAGGGCACAAGAGAAGCCAAGTGCCTAGTACAACGGAGTGAAGGGAGTCAAGCGATGTAGGATTAGAGAAGAAACAGAGACCGACAGGGCATCTGCTACGTAAAGAGCGTGTGCAAAGTGCTGTGACAAAAATTTTTCAGATAAACTTGGTTTGAACTAAAACTAAGTTTTGTCACTTTTGGTGGGCTTTTAACTTTTTTAAAATAAATTATAAGTTTCAGAAAAGATGTGAGAACCATACATAGACCAGACCCCATATACTCTTCACCCAGGTTCCCCGAGGGAGAAAGAGGAGGCTGTATACTCCAGTAAAGAGTTTGGGAAACCCAGAGGGCCAGGTCCTCTGTCCTATAGGGGCACTATGATAAGGTGACCAGATTTTAACATTGGTAAAGCGGGACACCATTGATAAAACTGATATCCTGGTGAAATAGCCACATGGCAGCCGAAAACCATATACCCTAAGCTTGTCGTGCATTCTTTCCAAAAATCGGGACTTTTTAAAAATGCCGAGGGATGTGGGCCAAATTGTTAAAAAGCGGGACTGTCCCGCCAAAAGCGGGGTGTCTGGTCACCTTACACTAGAGTCAGAAGTGCCCCAATGGCAGTAAGTGATGTGGGTGTGGTGTGGTGTGGTGAGGTGAGGTGTCAAAAACAAGGACACTCCCCCATAGAATTACAATAAAACCACCCATGTCAATGCTAACACAACACTAACAAAAGTAAACTTTTGAAGTGAGAAAATCTACAAAACAGAAAAAGGGTTAATCTTCCCTCAATACAAGAACACTTTGATCTAACAAACTGGCATTCTGTGATGTTCACCTTCCCCCCCTCCCCCCTCCGCCCCCTACATGATCGCTGAAGACAAAATGGGTGCATAAGCAGATGTGGTGAAGACAGAGGGTGGTGCCCGGCTATTAAAAGATATAGTGTCTGGGGTCTTAAATGATTGAAGTAAAGCGGCCATCTAGCAGTGAAGCAACAAGCCCACATGGAAGAAGCCAGTGCAATCGTGAGGTGTCATCAAGACCAGGCAACAGGCATCAGAAGACTCACAACAAACAGTAAACAAACGAATAAAAATGTATTGGTGAGAATGGAGGGGGGTTGGAGTGGAGACCCAAAGCCCATCTGTGGACAATGGAACATCCCCCCACAGAGGGGTGGCAGGAAGGGGACGAGTCAATTAGGGTGCAGTAGAGCACTAATGGATCACCAACACACCTCGGATCCCTTGAGGCCTCCTCTCCCCCCACTACTATGACCCCAGTGCCGCTTCCCACTCTGGACTAGACGGAAGTATGTACACAGGTGTAGGTATAGAACTCACAACACATGGAACCCAGAAACAGGAATAGAGAGAGATACCAGAAAGGTAGGGGGAAGTGGGAAAGAGATGGGGAGGGAGGGGGCACCGACTGTAATGAATGACACATTACCACACACCCCCAATCCAGGGGAAAGAACAATAGAAACCAGAGGGGAAGGGAGACAGTGGTTGGTGTGAGATCTGAAAATAATTAACAATCTATAATCTATCAAGGGCCCTCAAGGGTTGGGGGGAGGGGGAAAGGAGAGAGGGGGGAAAAAAAAGAAGGCTGATCCCAAGGGCTCAATGCAAAGTAAATGTCTAGAAAAGAGCAATAGAATATATGTACGTATATGTCAGATACAATTGATGTATGGATTATAACAAGAGTTGTAAGAGCCCCCAATAAAATTATCTAAAAAATAAAAAATTTTAAAAAGGGGTTATTATAATTTTTAAAAACAAGTTGAGTAATAAAAGATAGAAACCCGGCATAATGTATACCATTATTAATGCGGATTTGTTATGGTTCTACTTAAGCAGATACTACTATGCATATGCATGAATTATTTATTTTCAAGTAATATCTCCTGTTAATATGATACATTAACTATATTAAGATCAATGTGTAACTGCGTGTGTATAAAGTGTGGCTAAGTACAATGTGCATTAAAATATTTTAAAAAATCAAAAGAATAAATAAAATATGAAGTAATATCATACTCTTCTGCCTGAATGGAATCTGCAGGCGCTACATAATTGCTAGGGATATAACCGTTCTTTCCTGTAGCAATTGATCTTGCTTCCCACCAGTCTCCTTCCCTGCAAAACATAAAACAACAATTACCATAAAGATATTTCTCAAGATAAGATATATTGCAATGTTGTCTTGTGTCTGAGACACAACTTTCACTTTTTTATTTATGCACTAATTTATTTAGTGCATCTTTTCTCAACTGAGAGTGGTTAGAAATTTATTTAAGAAGTACACTCAAAGGACAATCAAAAAGAGGTTACATGAATTAAGGAGGTAAGAAAAAGGAAAACATAATTGTATATTTCTCTACTAAACAACAGAAAATCCCTCACACATGCTTTGATTACAATTTCTTTTTTATTAAAAATTTTTTTCAACCATACCAATAAGCAATTTGGGAGGGAAATCTTTCCAATTACTGTTTTTATCAACTGCTTCAATTTTTAAAGTTTTATCAATGTCATTTACATGCCATAAAATTTACCCATTTAAGGTATAAAATTAAGGTTTTTAGTCGACTCACAGAGTTGTGTAACTCTCCCCCCTAAACAATTTTGGAATATTCCTATCGTCCCCAAGAAAAACCTGGAAGCCCTTAGCAGTCACTTTCTCTTCCTCCCCACCTTCCAAATCCTGGCAGACTCTACTTTCTTTTCTACGGATTCACCGATTCTGGGCATTTCACATACATGAAATCATCCACGATGTGGTCTTTTGTGACTGCCTTTTTCAGTAATAGGATTTCTCAAGGTTCATCTACGCTGCAGCATGTTTCGGTACTTCTTTCTTTTGTACTGACAAATGCTTTCCTTTTTAACAATACATCAACTTTTAGTACTCTTTTTAGGAAAAAACCAGGTGCTCTAGCTCTAGTACTCTTAGAGCCCAGATAGTAACAGTGAATAGTAATGCTAAAGACATCGAATTCCTGGAATAGTGTACATTTACAAAAATGCCCACAAATAGCCAAAGAAGAGTAAAATTAAATTTCAAGTCCAGATGTGAGAACTGTATGATTTATAACACACACGTCCTAACTTTCCCAAAACTAAAATGCGAGCAAATATTATCAATCTTTAATGAGGAAAATAAATTTAGAATCAACTACTAAAGATAAAGTGCATTGTCTGCTTTACCAGAAGGTAAGCATTCAAAACAGATGATCCAAATTGGAATGTGAGCGGCTGATGGGTACAAATAGCCAAGGGTGCGGTCCACAGCCACCACATGCTCCTTGCACAGATGTGTGGGGTGAACTTAAGCCTTAAAAAACGGAATGATGTGTGTATGGATTGGGATAACAGTTGTATGAGCCCCTAATAAAATGTTAAATAAAAAAAATAAACCTGAAAATGCTTAGGTTCTGTCAAGACCTGGAAAAAAAAAAAAAAAACGGAATGAAAATCCTAAGGTAATTGAAATAGGTGTAAGTTTTGTTGTCTGCTAGTATCTTTAAGCGCTTTCAGACACACAAATGAAATCTTTGCTTATCAAGTTAGAGGATCCACCATGGTTAAGTGCTTGGCTCCTGACAAAAAGGTCAACAGTATGAATCTACAGTCAGTCAGCAGAGTAAAGTCCCGGTGTTGTTCTACTACCACAAAGATTTCCAAAACCGAACCAGACCCACTGCCACTGAGTTATAATTCTGACTCACAGCAACCCTAGATGGGGCTTCTAAGTCTATATCAAACCAAGAGTCTCAACTTCCTTCAAAGGGAACAGCTGGGGGTTTGAACTGCCAACATTGTGGTGAATGGTTACCATGACAGTGCCACCAGGGAGCCTTCCTATAAAAAACGGTAGCTGCGAAATCCTAAGGGGGCAGAATTCTCTGGCACCAAGGGCCACCATCAATTTAATGACACACAACAACCCAACCAGTGATTGCTTTATTCAAATATTTCTCAAGTATCTATTAAATGACAAACTGTAACAAGGAGTGCTGGCAAGAGAGATAAGAACTTGATGCTGTCCTGTAAGTACTGTCTGAGAGCAGGGATTTTTTAGTATCGGCATGACTGGCAGGTTGCGCTGGTTGGCTCTTTGCTATGGGGGTCCCCCACACATCAGAGGGTTTTCTAGCAGCATCCCTGGCCTCTACCCACTGAATGGCGGTAGCAGCCTCTGGGTTATGGCAATCAAAAACATCTCCAGTCATTTCCAATGTCTGCTGCATGATTCAGCCTCTAGTTGCGAATTCCTGGTCTAACAGAAGGACAAGAGACAAATCACAACTCACAACTGTGATATGAGCTGTGGCCGAGGTTTGCACCGGGTGCTGCTACGTGAACACAAAAGAGAAACAACTGTCCAAGCAAGGGGTGGGGAGGGGCCTGACAGAAGAGGGCGAGTAACAGGAAAAGATTCCTTGAAGAAGGATCCAGAAGGATGAGCAAGGGTAGCCAGATTAAAAATGGAGTGAGACAAGAAGTCACACTCCCCAAACAGGAAACCGCATGTGTGGAGGAGCTGAGAGGATGGGAAGCCCCCGGAGGCAAATCAGGAGCTGAGGAGTGTGGGGTGAGGGGGTGGTGGCAGTTAGGACTGCTTGCTGTAGATCCCTTTGATCTTAGAGACAACTGCGGCTCCTGCAGAAATTTAAGAGAGACAAATATATGATTCTAGTTTATGTGCTAGAAATAGAGCTAGTGGCAGATGGGAAGAAACAATGACGGGAAACAAAGAGATCCTAGATGCATGATTTCAGAAGTCATAAAGGGACTCTTAATGCTCACAGTGAAGTTATGTAATCTATTTTCCATAACAAATTTTCTAGGGTGGGTCACTGAATGACAAAAAGTCTAAGAATTATAGAAGAAAAATGCCATGAGAGTACAGGAGCACCTCACTGATTGAACCTCTTCCCTTGCTTTTTTATTTAATGAGCAAGAGCTTTAATCACCCATAGAACTAAAATTCGTGTCTGTTTTTTTAAAGTAATGTACTTACTTGCATGTAACTCTCAAAGAACCATGATTCCAAAATCTCTTGTTTGTGGCAGACACATCAGTACAATGTGTAGAAGGACTCACTGCTGGCTGCAGTACAACAGTACAGTATGCCTGCCACACACCTAAGGACGCCAAATGCACAGTCCAACAACCAGGTTTTTTCTCTCTCACAAAATTCTCAGGACACTTACGTATTGTTAATTATTTGAAATCTTTCACCCTTCTTAAATGAGAGGTCTTCTGTAGTTCTAGCTTCATAATCGTATAAGGCCACAAATAGAGTAACACCACCTATTGAAGGAAAAGAAACGACCATATATACGTGTTAACGAAACAGAAATACAGTACCACTGTCATCAAACAACAGCAAAACTCTTAAGGATGGTTTTCTTCCTAATCTCCAAGATCCATTTTATAGAAGCTGAAGATTTGGGCAGCTAAAATTGTCAAGTTTATGGGGTGTTCTTTTAAGATATTCCATGAGATTACTTGTGAAATGCTAACATTTTACAGACCATGGAAAACAATTTAATCCTGATGCATAGCAACACCACCCTCAGCTGGAAGACGGGTAACATTTCAAGTCAATTCCTTGACAGAAAAAGCACTGCAAGTAACAGACATCACCGTGGCACGGATCACCCCAGGTTCTTATCAACAACACAAGACATTTTCGTTCATAAAACCAATTAATCATTAACAGTCATGACTGGGTTTTAATAAGAATGTTTATTACATAAGGATAAAAATGACAAGCTTCCTTAGAAATCAAATGGCAAGGTGGGATACGATACAAATTACAAGGTATATATTCTAAATATAACAGTATTATATGTAGTATTATATGCATATACTTCAGAGATGAGCACACTGAACAACCAAACTATTAATCACCCCCCAAAAAAGTAACAGAAGAGATTTATAAAATATATATGGCATTTCAGTGTTACAAATTACTCAAGCCAGGGTAAAGTCCCTTAATTGTATTAACATTCTTCATCTGAATATGTACATACTGTACATCATAATTCTAGAGTTGCCAGATCAATTTTTAGTTTTCAATCTATCAATTTTCAAAATTTCTTAAGAATAAAAGGCAGATAGTAAAACTATGAAAAGACTAATAAGCAAAAATACTGTGACATACACGCAATAATATAAGACCTGTCTTAAAATTCAAAATTATACAAAACCGAAAGAAAAATGTAATCGCCTATAGTATTACCTCATTTATTTGCTCTCACCTCTAAATTCCACAGCCATATGTCTACTGCCTATTTGATATCTCTACTTGAAAGTCTAATACGCATTCAACACTTATTAGTTACCAAACCAAGAGCTTTCATAGTTTTCCTCTTCCGATTTGTATTTACCACGGTCTTCCTACCTCAACAAAGGGCACCACTATTCAGTCCGTTGCCTAAGCAACAGTTCTGCTTCTAAAGTATCTTATTTATCTACTTCTCTCCATTTCCACGCTGCCACTTTCATTCAAAGTCCTTGTCATTTCTCACTGGGAAGACTGAAAGCAGTAGCCTTCTAACCCCTAACATTCAATCTCCACACAGCACCGGAGTTTTTATAAAAGGAAATTCAGTTATGCACATCCTGTGATTAAAACTCTTCAATAGCTTCTTTTCTTTCTGGCTCCAAATACAGCCGAAACGTCTTCCAGAGGTTACAGAACCCTGAGGAACTGGGCTTCTGGTGAGCCCTGCCGTTTCACATCACACCACCCTCCCCTTGGTTCACGGCGGTCGGCCCGCCCGCTCGTCCTCAAAAGTACCACGTCCACCAACACTTCCTGAATTTTCTGTGTAATTTCCTCTTCCTGGAATGCTTTGTCGGGCCAGCCACCTGGTTAGGGCATTATCAATCAAATCTCACTTCAAACGATTTCTTCTTAAGGTGCCCTTTTCCAATCATGCTGGCTAGTTCCTTCTTAGCACTTACAAATCATTAACCACCGCTTGGCTATTCACTTACTAGATGTTGCCTGACTCATTGCACTGCAAACTCCATTGTAATGCCCAGCAGAAGCCTTGCTTGTCTTGCTCATCTCTCTATACCTGGCACCTAACTTTCCACAAGGTTCCAAGGCGATGGTTTTTATGAAAGCTGACTGCTGCAGCTTTCTCCTGGGAAGCAGTTAGTGGGTTTGAACTGCCAACCCATGAGAAAATGTTTAGAAAATTAGAATCGGTCCATGGCACTCCTCTAGCCACTGTCCCTGGTCCATGGGGAAATCTCTAGTCTAAGCTTTGAGAAGCGATTTCTTTCACCCACAGTTGTTCACAGGACCGACGGTGCTCGCTTTGATGCGGGGACCTGTTTTGCCTCCACTCCCAGGACTGCAGGAGAGCAGAATGAAGCCTGCGTCTCTCTCGGCCGCGGACAACGTGGAGCTGCTGTGTCAAGAAGTCTGGGAGGTTAACCAACCCAAGATTACTGTTGAAGCTACTTGTGTTTTGTTTCCTGCAGGGAAAAAGAATCCTGACTTCTGCAAAGGGACTCTTTACAAAAATGTGGCTCTTTTGCTCTCTCTTTTGAAAAATTTTCTAAAAAAAATTTGAGTTTACTTAAAAAAAAAATACTGGTCTTGTGTCCATGCAACACCATCCTTTTATCCTATGCTCTGAAAAGATATAGAATGTATAAAATAAATGGAGTTTTATTAAATTAGGATATTAAATCTGGGCTCTCCTGTCTATTATCTGTGACTGAGAAAAAAATCAAACTTTCTAAGTCTCGGGATTTAAAAAAATTATTATTTTAATAATGGATAGCATTTTCCAATCCTGAGACGCTTTAAGATTTTTGAGGGAGGGATATTTGATGTAAATTTTTATATCCCCAGTGCTTGCCATATAACAGATAGTCAATAAACATTTAAATAATGAACTAGTGAAATAATGTTATCATTCAAGATATAATATATAATTAGTACAAAATTTCCCAGCCATATACACAATAAAGCCTTAATGCTCATGTTAGAGACTGTAATTTTAACATATACCATCTATACTCGAGTATAAGCTGAGCTTTTCAGCACATTTTTAATGCAGTGTAAAATTTGGAGCCTCGGCTGATGTTCGGGTTGGCTTATACTCGAGTATATAGATAATTATTTTAAAAGTCCCCCAGTAAGTTATTTTCACAACCACAGGTAAACCTCACATTTCTATTGTCCAAGTTCATGGTCTCAAACTTATAACAGGATTGTTCATTGAAATCTCACCTGTTAAACCAGTAGGATATGAACTTTGCACCCCTGAAAATGAGGAAGATGTTCCTCCAAAAGGTGTCACCCCTGAGGATCCTCCAAATGGCGTCATGGAAAGACTGTTCAAATGAACAGATGTCCCCTTTGTTGAAGACGAAGGTGCCCCTGAAGTGTGCTCTGCTCCATACTGGCTGGCGCTTGTGCTGACGGGCTCGGTAACGTTCTCGGTTCGATATTTAATAGATGGACTTTTGTTCTCCTTACTCTTAATGCAGCCCATTATCAGATCTACAAAGGCAAATATTTTTGAGAAAGTCAATATACAGGACACAAAATTTCAATTCAAAAGCTGACAAAGCCGTTTTCTCCACAAAAAGTATCATTCAAAAGCAAAATAATACGGGATAAAACTCAAAATAATGAGGCCAAGGTTTATGGGACCAACAAAAAATTAGGAACCCCCAAGTCTATGGCCTTTATTCACTCTTCAGATCTAGAACTGACCTTGCCCCCATATTACTCAGCCTTTTCAGGTCAAAAGGGCAGCCTTCACTCAAGGACAGCGTGCAGAGGGTTAGGAAAGGCGGAGGACGAGAAACAGGACAAGTGATGGGTGGCTGAGGGACCGGTAATGCATGAGTACGAATGGTTGAATGTAAAACTCACGATCTACTCTACAAACGCTCACCTAGTCCACAATATAAAGCTAAAACAATAAAATATAAGCAAGCCGAACAATCTAGATTGCTTAAAATGAAGCCTCTCCCTTTTTGATCCCTTTTGTAATGTACTCTATTTTCACTTCAAAAAAATTGGCACTGAACTGTTAATTCATGGTTTACAATGAAAGAAACAATGATTTTTAATAATGCCATCTCTCAAATTAAAAATCTCTCCTCTAGGTTAATTAAAGCACGAAATTTGTCAAATTAGTTTATTTCATGTGTTTTAAGAAAAAGACCATTCTTGACCAGAAAATGTTTGCCTTTTTTTTTTTAAACAACCCTGAAGTTAGAGAGAGATGGTATTTACCAACACAGAGGCAGCGATGTGACAGTGCTAGAAGTGTGGCTCAGGGTGGTTTGCCCCAGAACATGTTCTGGCCAGAAGATGGCTCTGCATCTGAGTATACTGGGTCAGTCACAAGGTCGAGCTACAAGTTCATCGCATGCACAGATTCCTTCCAAACAGAGCACCTTTAAACGTGTCTCTGCTATCAGCAGGTGGCCGCAGGCAAGTTCTCCTTAAGGTGTCTTAGTCCATTAAGGGCCATGCAAAAAAGGGCCCAATAAAAACAGTGGCTTCTGAGGGGATCTTCTGGGCCAGTTAAATTCAAGACAACAAAGCCAGCTCAGAAGGTACGGTGACTGTTTCTGAGGGATTCCAAAGAGCTAATTTTGATAGATTTTCTAGAAGGACCTAAGATGATCACAGGAATTTATTACGAAGAATTTTTTTTTTACCTGGAAAACGACATTGGTGGAAAAAAGATCAGAAAGTAGCACAGAGGAGTTTCTCCCCCAAGACGTGCTCACTCTTCGGCGGCAGATAGACAGACAGCACTGTTCTAGGAGAATCTGGTTTGGAAACCTCGTCCCAGCCACGTCCCACTGCCCTGGCCGTGCCCATTCAAAGTTCTTCTGGTTCCCTACACTCAGAATCGGGAAGAGAAACCCAATTGGGGTCCTTCAAGGATGGTGCTCTGACATGGTGTAGAACTGAAGACCGTGGGATTCTTTGAGGAAGCGTTGAGAGATAAAACACGACTTCACCAGCGTTTACACCTAGGAGATGTCAAATGGTAATGGCTCCACAATTTGGTATTTCTGTTTAGTAAAAGTTTCAATAACTTTGTAACAATATATTTTATTTCTAAAAACCAGAAAACCAAACTATTGTCATCGAGTCAATGCCGACTCATAGCGACCTTATAAGACAGGGCAGAACTGCCCCTGTGGGTTTCTGACAGTATGGAATAAAGAGTAGAAAGCCTCTTTTTCTTGAGGAGCTGCTAGTGGTTTCGAACTGCTGACCTTGTGGACTGCAGCCCAACTTGTATCCACTACACCACCCGGGGCTCCTACTTTTTAAATGTACTCTTATATAACCATTTGAACGTGTAATCACTATAAACATTGATAATGTGATGTTACATTCCCTCCAGCCTGCTTTAATACTAAGCCTTACAAAATCCGTGAGTTTTACTTATAAACACATCTCAATTGAGACAGCAACCGTTTAAGTGCTTAATACATATACGTGGCCAGCAGCTACCATTCAGGATAGTGATTATTTTTCTAGTGAGAGGCCTGGAGACAGGGGCAGTTCAGTAGCAGAATTCTCGCTTTTCTTGTGGGTAAGACCTGGCTTGGATTCCTGGCTAGATTATTTCATATACAACTGTCATCTATCCAGGTGGAAGGCAGCACACTGCTATGATGCTTAACAGGGCTTGGCATGGCTACCCCAAGATGGACGAGGAAAAAAGGTCTGGCAATTCAGTTCTGAAAAATTAGCTAATGTTGTGGTCTTACGGATCACGACAGTACAAGAAGATGGCACAGGGCCAGGCAGGGTTTTGTTCCCTTGTTGGGGTCAACTCAAGTGCAGCTAACAATATCAAGAGACACACCCTAAGTGCTTACTAAACTAAGCACCCATCTCACCACAGCATTCAAGGCCTTCCAGATTTTGGCCACAGCCCATCTTTCTCACACCTCGCACTGGAAAAGAAAGAGTCCTGTTCTTCAAGTATTTTGTTCTGAGTTTCCCTACTACTCTCCCCACATCTCTCCCAGCTAAACTGGCATGCAGTGGGCTTTTCTATGCATAGCCAGCACTAAAAGCAAGACCAGACATACTAAGGCATCTCCAACACATCCATACAATAACAAACTCACAGACGCCCATCACAAAGGTCACTTTCCCATTTAGGCTTTCCCTGTAATCTGTAAAACTACTTTTCTTTTTTTTAATTAGTCATTTTATTGGGGGCACTTACAGCTCTTATAACAAACAACCCATGCATCAATTGTATCAAGCACATTTTTACATGTTTCCACCATCATTTTCAAAACATGATTTTTCTACTTGAGCCCTTGGTATTGGCTTCTCTTTTGACCCTCATTCCCCTACCCTCCCACCCTTGTGAGCCCTTGGTAAATTATAAATTATTACTATTTTCATATCTTACACTGCCCGCTCTCTCACTCCGTGCGCGTTTCTGTTGTTCGTTCCCCTTGGGTGTATGTGAGTGTGTTATACATCGATCAAAACTACTTTTCTTTAAAACTTATGTACTTCTGGGGAGGTTTCCCCCTTAGTTCATTTTTGGATCTTGTACTTTGCTTCTGAGTCTAATTCCCACCCCACAACCATGCTACTGGCAACACACTCCGCGAAAGCAAGCATTGTGTTTAATTCTCCTCTTAGCCACCGTGATGCCTACCGACGTGATCCAAATGGCGAAGGTTTACTATGACCGCGCCACCTGTACTAGGCTATGCACCCTCTGCAGGGGCACTGATGCAGATTTCGTTAATTCGTCTACCTTCAAATGTTAAAGGTGTCCTTATTTTATTCCTTTCTATGACATTCAAAAGGAAGTAGGTGAAAGGCAGTTACAACATTGGCTACATAATATTAGTTGAAATACAGAGCTATTACAATAGAAATAATCTCAGGGTCTCACAATTGGAAAGTGTCCGGATCACTGTCTTAAATGGGTACATTCTCAAAATATGAAACTTATAGGAAGCAGAGAAACACAAGTGAGACTTGAAATTTAAAGAGTGACTGAAAACATGAGAGAACATGAATAAAATGGACAAAAGGCAACTGCTTCTGAACATATTAGAAGAAAGTAAAGGAAAATTATTTCGTAATGTTGGGTTAGACAGTCTTTTCAAGCATGATATAGAAGCAAAAGTGCATTAATGGACAGATAGATATGACCTGGAGGCACACAGGTGAGGACAAAAGTACATAAGTAAATTGCTGCTCTCTTCACATAGCATCAATACCTAGTTTAATCTAGTCATGTCCCTCAATCGCGTTGATGCTGACTCCTGGCGACCCTATAGGAAAGAGTACAACTGCCCCAGGGAGTTTCCAAGCAACTCCCAAGGTTTCAAACTGCAGACCTTACGGATCACAGCCCAATGCAAAATCACTGTGCCACCAGGGCTCTTCAAACTTCAATATATATATATATTAAAATTGGTTGACATCAAATCATATCATTGTGTGCGCACCTCCATGATATGATCGCTGAGGACAAATGGGTGCATAAGCAAATGTGGCGAAGAAAGCTGAAGATGCCTGGCTATCAAAAGATATAGCATCTGGGGTCTAAAAGGCTTGAAGGTAAACAAATAGCCATCTAGCTCAGAAGCAACAAAGCCCACATGGAAGAAGTACACCAGCTGGAGATCACGAGGTGTGAAAGGGATCAGGTATCAGGCATCAGCAGAACAAAAAAATCTTACCATAGTGAATGAGGCAGGGAGACCCAAAGGCCAATTGTAGGCCACTGGAGATCCCCTTACAGAAGGGTTTCAGGGAGGAGATGAGCCAGTCAGGGTGCAATGTAGCAACAATGAAAAATACAACTTTCCTCTAGTTCCTAAATGCTTCCTCCCCGCCCCCACTATCATGATCCGAATTCTACCTCGCAAGTCTGGCTACACCAGAGGATGTACACTGGTACAGATAGGAACTGGAAACAGGGAATCCAGGGCGGATGATCCCTTCAGGACCAGTGGTGTGAGTGGCGATACTGGGAGGGTAAAGGGAGGGTGGGATGGAAAGGGGGAACCGATTACAAGGATCTATATGTGACCCCCTCCCTGGGGGACGGACAACAGAAAAGTGGGTGAAGGGAGACATTGGACAGGGCAAGATATGACAAAATAATAATTTATAAATTATCAAGGGTTCATGAGGGAGGGGGAGCGGGGAGGGAGGGGAAAAAATGAGGACCTGATGCCAGGGGCTTAAGTGGAGAGCAAATGTTTTGAGAATGACGACGGCAATGAATGCACAAATGTGCTTTACACAACTGATGTATGTATGGATTGTGATAAGAGTTGTATGAGCCTGTAATAAAACGATTAAAAAAACATTAAAAAGAGAAGTTATATTAGTCATGTAGTGAATATAAATAAAATTGAGACAATAAAAAAATTGGTTGACATCTTAATAGAGACAACAATTATACAAGAGAAGGAAAGACCCAGAGAAAAATGAGAAGATTTTCAAGTAGTTACATTTTAACACATAGACAGTGC